CATTCGCTTTGTCCGTCGTTTTATCGTTCCAATACTTTTTTGACGGTGGAAAGAATGACGGTGGAACAGGTAGAAAAAGAAAAATCCCTAGTAGAGGGGGATGCGGAACGCGGAACGACACGATGATTCCAATTGTGAAGATAAAAAGTTTCGTATAGTATACTTTATCGTTTATCGAACGATATTTCGTGCGTGAGAGAAAGAGGCCATTTTCCTGATGTTTTTAAAAAAAAAAGAAAAAATTACGAGACGAGTGTGTATTCGCGGTGTATTCGAATGCGAACGAACATGTTGTTAAAACTTTGTGATATTTCGTGACGACGATTACAGGCAAAGATTTATATCCAATATTCGTTTTCGTATCCAGCAACGCGAATATCTTTCCTCTCTTCGATATTTTTTTTTTTTTAAAACATCGAGAAAATTTTGGTCCAATTTTTACGAATTTATCGTAAGTATAAACGTAAATATATATATATATATATATATATATATACATACATATACCGCAATAAAATTAAAATCATCGTACAATTTCCACATCCACTTAACTAGGCTTTTTTTTCCTCGAGAAACGAGAGAAATTTCTTTCTTTCTTTCTACAAACCTGCGCGCTGTCCCAACCGGTGTGTTCCATTAACCGTCGACTTCTTTACAGAGAGAAGATACACTTATACACACAGTTAGAAGATTACATCACAATATTCCTCCGCTGTCGAGCCAAGAAAAAAGAAGTAAAGAGCTTTGATAATCGATGATCGATCATTTTATTCCCCGCTCGAAACACTTTCCTTCGTAATTCTCAGAAAAAAAAAAAAAAAAATAGAATTACGAAGATCGCAGAGATTCCGAGAATTCGCGAAGGTCTCCTTTTTCCTTTTCGAAAAACGGGGCGCACGTTTCACAGGTGTCCTCTTATACCGGGAACTGTTGTAAACTGTTTCTGGACGAGGGAAGAGACGAGATTAAATTAATCGATTGTTATTAAATCGATCGAATTAATCGGTTCGATACTGCTCCTGGTGATAGAGTTTCGCGTTGGTCGCGATATCGATACAGTAGAGCTCGTATCTCGGGTGAAACGTTCGTATATGGGTCCACACGTTGGTACGTTGGCGGAGATGATGTTTGCAGTAAGGGCACTCGAATCTCTGCGGCGTCCCGCACTCGTACTTAAAGTGGCGTATCATGTGGCTACGGTGTTTGTAGCTCCGCGAACAATTGGGGCAGGGATGTCGTCGACTTTCCTCGCCGGCTCGTCCCCAACCGGTGTCGCTACCACTACTCGTCGCCCGCCCGCTTCCTCGCGCCAATTCTGAAAAACAGGAAAAATTTTCCAACGATTAGTGGCGAAAGGAGGCATCGTCGTCGAACTCTCTCCCGGGACACCTTCTTCCTCGTGTAACAACGCACGTCCCTCTTGATCGGCTTCTCGTTCGATCTCGGGTAGATCGAGAACTCGATCGAAGAATTTTTATTAATTTTTACACATTTTGTTATCGATCGGGTACGATCCTGAATTATCGATCGAAACGAAACGAAAACAGAAGAAGAAGAAGAAGAAAAGAAAAAGAGGATGAAAAATCGCGCGTGTCGATGTGACAAAGGCACCTTCCTTTTTCTTTTTTTTTTTTTTACTCTTCTTTATCCTCGAAACGAACGCGAAAGATAGAAAAAACGAAAAAAAAAAGGTGGAGAAGGAAAGCGGAGGCCGTAACTATCGCTAAGATTATAGAATCTCGTTTATTTTCTATACAATGACTACGAATATAGAAATGTACACAATATGAGGAGGAGGGGGGAGTACGGTCGGTAAAATAGACCACCGAATTCGTTATCCGTATATATATA